ACTGTCCCAGAGATCCCTGAGGCTCTGTTGGTACTGGCATCAGTTGATTGCTCTTCTCAGTCAAATGTGGATTTCTTGGATCTTGGTATGATGAGTGATTTTTTTATGTCCTGGACAATTTGGTTACTATATTAGGAGATTATTCCCATTTAAATGTCATTTAGCAGGCAGTCACCCTGTTCAAGTTTAGCATGTTTATTTTAGCCTATGTTTGTGGGCTTTAGTTCCAATGACAATTTAATTTTCTACCCCATGCAATCCTATTCTGGTCTGCTTTGTTCTTCTTGTGCTGCTGGAGCTCCCACTCAGTTCCTATTTGGTGCTATCTGTAGGAAGCCCAGGAAAGGCACGTCTCTGGGCTGCCTAATGGTGCTAGGTGACCTTCTGGGGTATACAAGCAGAAGCTGCTGAGTCTAACTCTATTTATACTGCTGAGTTGAGAGCAGGAAGACACAAAGCTTTGCCTTTGTTGTTGTTGCAGGATTGGACTTCCCATTGGTGCCCCAGTTGTGAAGCTGGGACAATCAGGGACTTTGCTGTTGCTAGCAGGTCATGCCACCTACAGGTGACCTGGTTTTAGAAATGCCCCAGGCTTTGCTGCTGCCACTGCTACAGCTGTATGGGATCACCTGCCCGTACCCCAGGCGTGGAGTGCAGTGTGAGACAGCCTGGGATGTTGCTACTGTTGCTGCTGCCAACAATCAGACCACTCGTACAGTGCTGTGGCATGGGGGGCAAGGGTGGCCGAGGACCTTACTGCTGCCATTGTTTCTAGTGGATCAGACTGCCCTCCAGATTTGGGTTGTGAAATGGCAACTGGGCTGCTGGAGCTTTGCTGCTTTTGCCGCTGCCGGCAGACTGGACCACTTGATAGGATCTGAGTTGAAGAACAGGGACTGGGATAGCCATGGCTATACTATCGCCACTGCTTCCAATGAACTGGACTATGTGCCAGGGCCTGGGTTGTGGAGTGGAGTTTGGGGATTCTCACTAGATCTCTGTTGGGCCTACCTTTTGCCAGTGCCTTTGGTCAGAGAGGTGTAAATACATGACTCTCTGCATTTGTCAAGACCCATAGACCCACACACCAACAAGAGTGCCATGTACAAATTAAAATACAATTCAACTAGGATATGGGCAAACTAACGTACTAATGAATGACATAACCACACTGAAGTAGTTGGGTAAAAAAGTACCTGCCTTAATAACTTTAGAAAACAGTTTTTTTGACTGGAAACTGTAAGGCTAAAGAGAGAAAGAATTATGTGTAAACAGTGCACTCCAGCTGATAAATTTGTTTCTCAGAGTATGGGTTAGAAATTCTGAAACTACTTTATATGTATACTAGGGTTGAACAAAAAAGTAAATACATTACAGATAGCGATAATCAGGTTTTTCATGGGCAAAGAAGTTACAAATAAGGAAACACATTCATGACAAATAAATCCTGGGCTGTGGATGGGTGCAAGAGGTATTAGTATAAACTCATGGTTTTATTTTTCTTCTTTAATGAAAATACAGATAAATAGATACAGGAATATAGCCGCTTATGCACAGATGGGATATTATACATATCTCTCTCCACTGAGAGGACCTAGAAGCAGTGAGTTCAGTAGCAGCAATAAGCATACCTCAATGCCCAGATTTTGGTTTATAAACACCATTCTCTAATAAAAGAAACAAGGGTTCTTTGGAGATGTGGTAAACTCCAGGGTTGAGGCTAGGAAACTAGAAGATGATCATGAAACATCTCATAGAGCCAGAAAGTAAGGAAGTATTCAAGAAAAAGAAAAGCTAGATGCATATGTGAAGGACACAGGGGGCAACCTAAAAGAGTTCCCAATGGCCAAAGTGGGAACAAGCTTAGTAACAAAATAAATAGCAATAGTATTATTACTGAAAGAGTAAATCAATATTCATGAGTCCATAATGAAATAAATATGATTGATGAATAAATAAAAGGGAGAAAGGGGAAACTCAGTTACAGAAGAATTCTAACACATAAATGTAAAAGGAATGGAGGAAACAGAAAGTCACCATTAGAACAGCACAGTAATAATTTTGTAGAGAAGATCTACCACTGAATGCTAAAATTAGTGGGTAAATGTTTAAGAAACAAAGGATATGTGTATAGCCTCAAAGTATCTCATCCAAAACATGTCTTATCTATAAAAAGAAAAAAATAGTAACTTTACAGGGGAACAAGCTGGCAGATGCCACCTTACCCAAATCTTGAAGTTAACATCACCAGTATTAAGGCATATCAACATCATACACTACTCAACATGATGCACTGAGGAGGACGCATCTCCTCTGTGGTATTCTAACCCCAATCTAACTATTAGAAAGCATGAGATAAATCTAAATTGAAGGACATTCTTCAAAACACCTGATCAATACTCTTCAAAAGCGTCAAGGTCATGAAAGACGAGGAATCACTGAGGACATGTTACAGACTGGAAGAGACTGAGGAGACTGCAACTAAATGTAATATGGGGGGATGAGTGAAAGAGGAGAAGGGGATTAAGAGGTAGAAACTTCCAGTTATCAAATAAATAAGTCATGGGGATGAAAAGTACAGCAGAGGTAATATAGTCAATAATATTGTAATAATATCGCATGGTGACAGATGGTGACTACACTTACCATGGGGAGCACTGAGTAATGTATAGAATTGTCGAATCATTATGTTGTACACCTGAAACTAATATAAAACTGTATGTCAACTATATTTAGATAATAAATAAATTTAAAAATAAATAAATGCAATGTGGGACCCTGGATTGAATCTTGGAACAGAACAGTAACATTAGTAAAAAGACTAATGAACTCTGAATGAAGTCTGTGAATGAAGCAATGTGATTTTCTTAGTTTTTGTTTTTGTTTTGTTTAAATAGACTTTTTTTTTTTTTAAGTAGGCTCTAAAACTAACATGGGGCTCAAACTCAGGATCCTGTGATCAAGAGTCCCATGCTATACGGACTGAGCCAGCCAGGTGCCCCCTGAGATTTTCTTAGCTTTGGCAATTGAACTATGGCTATGTCAGATGTTAACATTAGGGAAGCTGGCTGAACGGTAATACAGGCACCCTCTGTACTATCTCTGCCACCCTTTTGTAGGACTAAAATGATTTAAAATTAAAAAGTTAAAGGGCGCCTGGGTGGCTCAGATGGTTAAGCGTCTGCCTTCGGCTCAGGTCATGATCCCAGAGTCCTGGGATTGAGTCCCGCATCAGGCTCTCTGCTCCTTGGGAGCCTGCTTCTCCCTCTGCCTCTCTCTCTCTCTCTCTCTGTCTCTCATGAATAAATAAATAAAATCTTTAAAAAAAAAAAAAATTAAAAAGTTAAAAACACACACACACACCAAAAAACTCCTTCAACATTTGGGCAGCAGAAATGTAGCTCAGATGATAAACAGTACAACTCTTCTTTCTGAGCCCCATCTCAATAGTCTTGTTGACAAGCCCACTGTTCAGGGAATGTTGAAAAGATGGTAGAAAAGCTAGGAGAAAGCCAGACTAAAAATCACATGAAAGATGGTCAGGAGTTAGTGCCTCTTTTGCACCTGCTCCCTCCCTGCTCCCCCAGGAGCCTTGGCCCAGACCCCGCCCCCAGCTTGTGCTCCTCTGACCCTAGGACTGGCTATGCCTGCTGGAGGAGGAGGAAATACAGCTCCGACACCAGCACATGGCACTGTCAGAACACCTGAGTGGCAGTCCTGAATTCACTGGATTGATTCCTGAGCCAAGAGAGTCAAAAGAATATAGAGAAATCTGATCATCTTGAAAATAAATTTTGCACATTCAGCAAGCGAGCAAGAGAGCTTCAATGAAGATTTTTGAAGAGAACAGAATCATACTTTGATTTTTAGCCATTTAGATGGCTGGTTCTACTCATTAGTGATTTTTTGTATAAAGAAGCACCATTAATGTTTTTATCTAATGATATTACATATATAATATCTTCTCATGACAAACCCTAAATTAGTGGGCTCTGAATTAACTATTACCTATGGTCTGTAAAAGGAGGGAGCATATATCTCAAGTAACTTCACTGGTTAATCCTGGAAATTTATCAAGTTGGGTATGAATTGGATATTCTTTCCCAGGATAAGGTGGCCAGTTAGATCAAGATCTTACAGGCATCATTATTTCTTACAGAATCTATTTCTCCCTTCTCCCATTTTTTAAAAAAAAATCAATCCCAAGGGAATTCTGGTACATTCCAATGACAGCACAAGCAATATTCAAGGAGGTTTACTAGTGTCCATTTGTGGCCCCCTGTCAAATCTGGGACTCTAAACTCGGTACTGAACTATTCTAAAGATGTCTGTGATCTACATCTGACTTTTTGAGAAGAGCCATTAGTTTCAATTTTAGCATATCTCAAATATCTGGAATGCTATATGGTTCTGGAAAAAGAACTTTAAAAAAATTAAGATAAGCTCAAGACAAGAGAAAATTTAAGGAAAGGAAATTCCTTCCTAGTAGTCTGTGTAAATGCCAAGAGGGGTAGCTTTAAGGTTCTCCAAGTAAAAGGCAGGACTGAAGAATTTATTTCACTTTCTCACTGTATCTTGCTGCTGCCCTCTCTCTCCAGCTTCTCTCTGTGTGTTTCCACCAGTTCACTACTTTGGAACAAAATCCACTGGCAAAAATAGCTGCAATATATTACTTGAAACAATAACGAGGTCTCAGAAAGATCAAATCTGAAGGTTTGAGTACAAAAAAATTAAATTTTGAAATTTATCTTCATAAAGGGGCTGAGATCTGAGCCAACGGCAGCTCTGGAAATGGTGTCTTGTGAACAAAGTCTGATCTAAATGTTAAGATAGTGACTCATGAGCTTAGATGAATGTGACTATTGTAAACAAAATGAGTGTGCAAACCCCTGCCATCTTGGCACTCAGAGCCCTTTCTCAAGAACTTCCATGGCATGAACTAACTCAGTAGGTGATCAAGTCAGGCTTCTTCCGCCAGACCCGGCCTCCATCTTTCTTACCTGAATGTCTCTAACCCAGGACTGAGCCCCTCTCAAATTATCTTCATTGATTTCAACAAGTTTTTCCTGCCAAGCAACTGCTTGGGCGTCAAACTGCACAAAATTGAATTTCCTTTTATATTTCAGCTGTTCCTGTAAGAGAGAATTATTATTTAACCGTAACACCACTCAGATGTAAGAAAAGGTTAAGACAGGTCATAGTTTGATAAGTTTTAGTCACTATGTTATCTATTTTCAGTTCTGGAAGCTAAAAATTACATGCGAAAGAGAAAATCTTTTCCAGTACAAAAAATATTTAAATAAAATTTACACAGTTTGGAGATTACACTTTTACAAATGTATGTATGTATGAATATATTACATATGTTACACACATGCATAAGTTTTTATATATAATATGGCATTAAAAGTTGTTGTCTTTAATACTAGCATTGATGGTATACCGCATACTCACAGGAAATGCAATCTGCTTAAAGAAGAGAAATCCAAAATGGTGTCACTGTTTTGGTAATCATGTTTTCGTAAAGGCTATTCACTTGTCTTCTACCAGCCCGTATTTCTCCAGTACAGGCTTATCAAATTAAAACCTGTATTTTGTACTCGCAAACACTCCCTGCAGTGATCTTCTGTGGTAACGCTCCCACCAATGTCATTAATTAGCGACAGTACCAGGATACCCATCTGTAGGTGTGGGGGCTAACAGTTAGGAGAGCAGTCTGCTTTAGGTCACACAGTCGGAGGCACCACAGGTGGAATAGGAACTGGAAGCTCCTAAGCATCAGCCTACACTCCTCCCACACATCAGTTCTGGGGCCAATGCATGCAACACTGCTAATAAATACTGGAAATTAAAATAAAAATGCTGAGCTGAAGAGCATCTGGAAAACAATGGAGATGTGTGCACACCACAGGTTTCAGGACAGAGGAAACATGAAGCAGTGGACACTGAAACTCCCTTAGTAACCCATGTGTTACAGAAAGGACCCTGCCACAGGAAGGGTCTGCCTGCGAAAGAGAACTGATGATTCTCTAACTGGCAAAAGGGAGCTTTTATCTAAGGTGGCTTTCCTGTGGATGTCTGAGTGCAAACCTCACCTGTGTACCTCTCATAACCAGTGCAGGTGAAGGCTGCTGCAGATGCATTCATGATACAAAGGCCCCCAAATCCATGCACCTGACAGCTCCATCTAACCTGTATAAACTGGATGATCTTGTCCTTCACCAAGTCCAGTTTGCTCTTCATTGAGTGAGATGTATCAATGAGGACATAGATGCAATCATTACGTACTTTTCCAAAGAGGATTTGACTTCTATCCTGTAGCCACTTAATCCTAGGCAGGAAATAGGTTGAAAGTGAATTTTTAGAGCCTGTGGGCAATGTCAGCATCTTCCTAAGAACTTAATAATACATCTACAAAGGCCAAGCTGTGCTGTGTTGGTTATGCACAATCTTCTGGGAGTAGATTACTCATTTGGAGGGTTTTCTGTGGAAAATCCTACATTTGGGCTGGCTCCCTCATCACTAACCCCCTCCACTTCTCCATCATCAATCCAAGTAAAACAGAACTAGGAAAATCAATAGGACCGAAAAATAAATCCAATACTGGGTTCCAAAGCCAAAAGTAAATTACTTCCTCAGTTATGACTTCAGACCATTTGTTCTTTTAACCCTGCTGACTACAGTCAAGTTAGTAATGCCAGCACATTCCTGAAGCTTCAGTGAAGCTTACGGACAATATCAAGCAACACCAGATCCCTACAATAACTAAGCATCAGACAGTTGTATGAGCAGGACTGCTTCTGTGATTGGGACTCAGGCTCCCATAACAGGATGTAAATTAAGTTCACAGCCTCAGCCAAGACCTGGAGGAGGGAGCAGAGCAGATGGAAAAAATACTTGAAACTGAGTTCAGAGTTCACCAAGGCTAAGCAACTAGAATTTGTAGGCAAAATAACGAAGAAGAGGTTGCTGCATAGAAGCAGAGAGGGTGGGAAGGGATGGAGAAAGAGAGAAAAAAAGGGGAGAGAGAATGGGCTCTGGCCATCTGCAGAGAGTACCCTAAAGATTTTGTCTAAGTAATGATCACGGCATGCATGTGAAGAAACTACTAAAGCTAAGGAACAAATCACCATAAAGGAGTAAGTAGATCAACACCTCAGAGCTTACACAGGGCTACTTCATCTTCCAAACAACCAGAGGGGGAAAGCCTCCTTAATACATGGGACATCAAGGAGTCCTCATAAGGGTATTGCCTTAGTAGTAGAAGCAAATTAGCCCTGGACTAAAGGCTGACCTAGACCTATGTTAACATAACTTAAAAGCAAGCCCCAGAGGATCAAAGTGATTCCAAGGAACATAACTGCATCAAAGAACATGTATTTTAAAAATACAGCAAAATCCAGGACCCAAGAATGTAAAATTCAAAATGTCTGCATTCCAGTAAAAAATTACGAGCCATGCAAAGAAGCAGGAAAATATGACCCATAACCAGAAGAAAAACAGATCAACAGAAACAGACTCTAAAATAACACAAATACTGGAATTAGTAGAAAAGGATGTTACACAGCTATTATAAATATAATCCATATGTTCAGCAAGGTAAAGTATAAGCAGAACAAGGAAAGGAATGGAAAGTACAAAAGGAAACTTACAGAGATGTACAATTACCAAAATTAAAAATACACTACATGGTATTAACAGACATTACACTAGCAGAAGATCAGGGAACCTTAAAAAGGACATTGCAATAGGAAGCAATTTAAAATGAAACACAGAGAAAAAGCCTAAAAAAAATAGAGAATAAGCAACCCACAGAACAACATCAAGGAGCCTAACATATGTGTAGAGACTAAGAAAAAGGAGAAAGAGGGAAACAGAAAAAATATTTGGAGAAATATGGCCAAATGTTTCTGATTTTGATAAAACAATATACCCATATATACAAGAATCTCAAACAACCTAAACAGAAGAAAAATGAAAAAAAAAAACCACCAACACACATCATAATATATAATTTGAAATTCAATGATAAAGATAAAAAAAAGCACCCAGAGACAACATAAAAATAATATAAGAGTTTTCATCATAAATCAAGCAAGGCAAAGGACAATGGAGAAATATTTTTAAAGTACTGAAATATAAAACTGTAAACCTACAATTCTATATAAAGCAAAACAAAAAAAATCTCCCAAACATAAAAGTAAATTAGAGTCTTTCAGACTAAAACAGCTGAGGCACTTTGTTACCAACAAACCTGCACAAGGATCTATACAAAAGAATAAAGAGCCACAGAAATATCAAATATGTGGATAAATACAAAATATATTAATTCTCATTTTAAGTCTGTTTATAGGACAGTTGATTATTTATACTGTATTGTGGGTTTATCGCATATGGAAATAAAGTGTAGGACAACAGTAGAAAAGACAGAAGGGTCAATGGAAGTTGTAAGATTTTTATGATATAGATGAAGTGAAATATTATCTGAAAGTAGTGGTAAGTTAAAGATATATACTATAAGTGCTAAAGCTATCATACACACAACAAAACAAAATAAAGAGGTAGAGTTTAAGCCAACAGTCGAAATAAAATGGAATCATAAAAAATACTCCAACAAAAGAAGGTAGAAGAGTAAAAAGGGAACAAAGAACAGGTGAGACAAAAAATAAACAGCAAGATCTTAGATTTAAATCCAACCAAATAATCACATTAAATGGAAATGATCTTAATACTCCAATTAAAAGGCAGAGATTAGAAATGGCTATTATCAAATCGACAAGAGATAACAAGTGTTGGTCAGGATGTGGAGAAAAGGGAACCCTCATGCACTGCTGGTGGGAATGTAAATTGGTACAGCCACTGTGGAAAACAGTATGGAGGTTCCTCAAAAATTAAAAATAGAAGGGGTGCCTGGGTGGCACAGTTAGTTAAGCATCCAATCCTTGGTTTTAGCTCAGGTCATGATCTCAGGGTCATGAGACCCCTATGTCAGGCTCCATGCTCAGCATGGAGTCTGCCTGAGATTCTCTCTCCTTCTCCCTCTGTCCCTCATGCTTGTGCTCTTTCTCTCTCTCTAAAATAAATAAATAAATAAATCTTTAAAAAAATAGAAATGCCACATAATTCAGCAATTCTACTTCTGGGTATTATGCAAAAAAGAAAACACTAACTTGAAAACATATATATGCACCCCTATGTTTACTGCAGCATTATTTACAATAGCCAAGATGTGGAAACAACCCAAGTGTCCATTGATAGATGAATGGATAAAGAAGATGTATATGTACACACACACACACACACACACACACAGTGGAGTATCATTCAGCCATAAAAAAGAATGAAATCTTGCCATTTTCAACAACATGGATGGACCTTGAAGACAATATACTAAGTGAGATAAGTAAGACAGAGAAAGACAAATACTTTTATCATCTCTCCTCTATGTGGAATCTAAAGCAAAGAAAACGAAAACAAAAAATAAGTTCATAGATACAAAGAACAAGCAGATTGGTGGTTGCAAGAGGCAAGGTGAGAAAAATGGCTGAAGAGGACCAAAAGATAAAAAGAAACAAACGAAATAAACTCAACCAGTTTTGGGGAGGGGATAAATGGTAGCTATTAGGATCCTTTATCTCTAGTATTTAAAATTTTGTGATGATGTATCCTGGATGGGTCTTTATTACCCATTTTCTAGACATTCCTTGCAACTTTCTTTTGGTTTGGAACCACTGGTCTTGCAGTTCTGAAATTTTTTCTTAAGATCTCCCCTTCATTTTATATATGTCCATAAGCTATCTATTTGTATGTATGCGTGTATGTTAACATCAACCATGGAGTGCTTGGGTTCTGCTTTCAGAGAGACTGCCTTCATCTTCCAGCTCTCTCACTGAATAGTTTTTTTTAAGATTTTATTTATTTATTTATTTGTGAGAGAGAGAGACACACACACACAGTGAGAGAGGGAACACAAGCAGGGGGAGTGGAAGAGGGAGAAGCACACTTCCCGCTGAGCAAGGAGCCCAATGCAGGGCTCGATCCCAGGACCCTGGGATCATCACCTGAGCTGAAGGCAGACGCTTAGCCAACTGAGCCACCGAGGTATCCCTGAATAGTTATTCTGGCATATTTTGAAGAGCTCTTATAATTCTTAATATCTATCTATTTATCTATCTATCTATCTACATAACAGTCTTTTCCAACTTTCTGAGTGTGGTATTTTCTATCTTTCTGAGAAGATTAATAGGTTGGTTCTCCAGTTTTGTTTTGTTTTGTTTTTCACTCCTTAGATTATCTTTGTTTGCTTGTTTGTTTGTTTCTAAGAACAATATGGAGTTTAAAAAAAAAAGGCAGAGATGGTCAGATTGGATTTAAAAAACAATACCCATATATATCCTACCTATAAGAAACCTAATTCAATATAAGACTCAAACAGGTAAAGGTAAAAAAAAAAATAAAAAAAAGATAAAACATGCAGAAAATGATCAAAAGCAAGCTGGAGCAGCTCTATTGATGCTGGACAAAGCAGATTTCAGAACAAGGAATACTGCCAGAGATAAAAAGGGACATTTCATAATAATAAAGGAGTTGATTCATCAAGAGGACATAACAACCCTAAATGTACATGCACCTACTAATAGAGTTACAAAACACATGAAGGAAAAAAATGACAGAATTGAAAAAAGAATGGGCAAATCCACAACCATCGCTGGAGATTTCAACACTCTTATTTCAACAATTTGAGGAACAATTCAACAAAAAATCAGTAATAATATGGGAGACCAAAACAAACTTATCAGCCAACTTGAACTATTTATAGCACACTCCACCCAACAAAAGCAGAATGTGTAGCTTTTCTTCATATTCTGGGCCACAAAACAGGTCTCTATAAGAACTGAAATCATACCGTATCCCTCTGTCCATAGTGAAATTAAAAGCTATCAGCAAAATCCACAAATATTTGAAAGGTAAACAATATATTTCTAAATAACCTTTGCTCAAAGAAGAAATTATAAGGAGAATTCAAAAATATTTTTAAGTGAATAATCTGTGAGAGGCAGCTAAAGCAATATCAGCAGAAAATTTAAATGCTTATATTAGAAAGAAAGGTCTCAAATCAGTGACGTAAGCATCCATCTTAAGAAACTTAAACCCAAAGTAATGAGAAAGAAGGAAATAATAAAGAATAGAAATCAATGGCACAGAAGGGGGAAAACTGTATGGAGAAAAAACCCACTGAAACCAAAAGCTGGTTCTTTGAAAAGATTAATAAAATGGACAAACTCCAGCAGACTGAAAATAAAGATGACATCAGTTACTCACATCAGTTCTATGTACATGTGAAGAAATTGAATACATAGTTTAAAACCTCCCCACAAAGAAAAATTACAGGCCCAGATGGCCTCAGTGATGAATTCTACAAACATTTAAGGGAGAGATGGTACCAACTCTCCACAAAGACTTCTGTAAAACAGAAGAGGGGAGAGAATTTCCCAACAACCCCTGACACTTGGGGGGTGGAGAGGGACAAAGAGACCTGGCAGGGACCAAGTGGAGTGTCTTTTAAACAACATCCTTTTTCCCAGGCCTGAAACATCCCTCTTTATTGTTAACAACAAGGCCACCAGCAAGGCATCAATCAGATGGCAACCCTGACTTAGCAAGGTTAATTGGCTGTTTCTCGTGGTTAAGCTTTTACGAAGAGGTCAAGCAGATTTGAATTTTAAGAGAGACTAAACCACTTGCACCCTCCTGCAAATATACCAACCTCCTCTGAATCTGGGCAAGGACTGTGTGGATTCTCTCGCTGTACCATGTACACTTCTCCTTGGTAATGCAGACATGGACCAAGCTCCCATCCTTCCAGGGAGCATGAACAAATCTACTGCAGTATTTCGCATGGACTGTCTTCTTGTTGGTCTCCTAAGGAAAAGACAAAGGATAGAAGCCACTCAGACCATTCAAAGTCATCTCCAGATGGCACCCCATCTTGTCTTATTTATACAGCTCTTAGCACTCCCATGGTAAAATCATTCAACTGCTGGTTCAACAAAACATGCACTGGGGCCTGCTCTATGTGGAGCCCTGTGCCAGATGTCATGTATGATGGTCAGAAAGACATGTGCAATCCCATCTGGGCCCCAGAGAAGATGTTTCCAGCAGGGAAACACACACACACACAGAGAAAGTTAGCAAGGCAGAGTACAGACGCTGGGTTGAGACAATAATAACTGGGCAATCTGGCAAAGAAGAAAGCATCCTCACGGACTAGAGGGTCAGGAGGACTACCTAGAGGAGGTGGGACTTGAGATTCACATAAAACATCTTTCCATTGTTACTTCCAGCTCCAAATGAAGGAAAGTAGCCAAGAACCCCCATTCCACACCTAGCACCCTCTACTGGCACATGCAAAACTGGTCTGAGGACAATGGCTTCCCAAATAGAGAGCTCACCCAACCAATTTACGAATTTATCAAGAACGACTCCATGCCACCAGCAGTAACATCTTGTAGGCAGCAGCAATACAATCCATAAACAAAGACCAAAATTCCTGCCTTCATGGAGCTCACACTACAGGTGAAGAGCTAGATAATAAACAATTACACAGCAGGTCAGACAATGACAAATTCTATGGAAGAGAATGGAGAACAGGGGATGGGAGGATGAAGAAGCTAAAACCTGAAAAAAGAAAGCCATAAAGAGAAGAAGAAATATGAACAGAGACCAGCAGGAACAAGGAGTGTGGCCATACGGAGGTCTGGGGGGAAGTCTGAGGACAAAGCAAAGGCAAAAGCCCTGAGGTAAGAGTAAGAGTCTGCCTAGCATGTCTGTAGAATTTTAGGAAGGCTGGTGTAGTTGAAACAGAGTGAGCTAGGGGAAGGAGTAAGATGAAGCCAGAGCAGTATGAGGAGGGCCAGAAGCAGACTCCATAAAGTCCACTAGCTAATGGAAGTGACTCTAGCTTCTCTGAGTGAAAAAGGAACTACCCAAGGGCTTTAACATGAGAAGTGACACATTTTTAAAAATTAAGATATGATTGACATATAACATTATGTTACATATACAATATGATTTGATATATGCATACAGTACAAAATGATTACCACAGTAAATTTAGGTAACACTATCACACAGTTATAAATTTTTTTCTTGTGATAATCTAAGATCTACCCTCTTAGACAAATGACATAATTTATAGTTTTAAGTTTTATTTATAATTTTAAAACTTAATTTATAAAAATATCATTTTAAAGGATACTGTGGTAGGGCGCTTGGGTGGCTCAGTCATCTAAGTGTCCGACTCTCAATTTTAGTTCAGGTCTTGATCTCAGGGTCATGAGTTCAAGCCCTGCATTGGGCTCCATGTGAGGAATGGAGCTGACTTAATAAATAAATAAGTAAAGGATACTGTGGTTACTCTGTTGAGAATAGACAGTAGAGAGTCAAGGGCAGAAGCAGGGAGTCAGGAGATCAGTTAGGTGGCATGGACCAGGGGTAGTATTGAAAGTGGTGAGAAGTGGTCAGATTCTGAATTACAGACATGTTATAAAGATAGAACTAACAGCATTTAATGAGAGGTCCGATGTGGATATGAGAGAAAAGAGAGGACTTAAGGAATGACTCTCTGGTTTTCAGCCCAGATGACTATAAAAATTGAGGTGCAATGAATTGATGGGAGGAAGATTATGGAAAAGTAGCCTTGAAGGGGAAGATCTGGACCTGTGTCTGATGTGCTAGGTTCAAGGTGCCTATCAGATATCCTAGTGACATGGCAAGTAGTCAGGAGGAAAGGAGGGAAGGACTCAGGGCTGGATATTCAAATGTAGAAGTCACCCGCACGCACACAGTATTAAAAGACCCAGGACTAGGGGCGCCTGGGTGGCTCAGTCGTTAAGCGTCTGCCTTCGGCTCAGGTCATGATCCCAGGGTCCTGGGATCGAGCCCCGCATCAGGCTCCCTGCTCAGCGGGAAGCCTGCTTCTCCCTCTCCCACTCCCCCTGCTTGTGTTCCCTCTCTCACTATGTCTCTCTCTGTCAAAAAAAAAAAAAAAAAAAAAATCTTAAAAAAAAAAAAAGACACAGGACTAGATGAGATCATGTAGAGAATGGTTACAGAGAGAGAAGGTCCGAGGACCGCACCTTGAGGCCCTTCAGCATTTAGAGGCTGGAGACATGGGAAAGAAGAAACAAAGAACATTGACAAAGAATAGTCAGTAGGAGGAAAACAGGACAGTGTGTACTCTGCAAGCAAAAGAAGTTCAACGAAGTAACTAAGTATATCAATGTTGATAGTAGGTCAAGTAAGAGTGAGACTGAGAACTGACCCCTGGATTTAGCAATTCAGGTATCCCTGGAAAGAGTGGGTTTTGGTGGAGAGGGGGCCTTGCCCAATTGGAGTGCATTCATGAAGGCATAGGAAAACTGCAAAACTGGAGAAAGGGAATGTATAAAACTCCTGAAGAGTTGAATTCTAAAGAGGAGCAGAGGAATGAGGCAAATGATGTAAAACTAGAGATAAATATGGGGGTCAAAAAATTGTTTTTTGGGGGCGCCTGGGTGGCTCAGTCATTAAGCATCTGCCTTCGGCTCAGGTCATGATCCCAGGGTCCTGGGATTGAGCCCTGCGTCGGGCTTCCTGCTCCGCAGGAAGCCTGCTTCTCCCTCTCCCTCTGCCGCTCCCCCTGCTTGTGTTCCCACTCTTGCTGTGTCTCTCTCTGTCAAATAAATAAATAAAATCTTTTTAAAAAATTGTTTTTTGTTTTTTGGGTTTTTTTTGTAGAGAGAGAGAGAATGCAAGCGGGGAGCAGGGGAGGGACAGAGGGAGAGAGGGAGTGAGAATCTCAAGCAGCTCCAAGCCCAGGGCTCCATTGCATGACCCTGAGATCATGACCTCAGTGAAAATTGAGAGTTGGATGCTTAACCGACTGAGCCACCCAGGTGCCCCAAAAAACTGTATTTTTAAGATGTGAGGAAGAACACTATGTTTGTGTGCTGATGGGAAAGATCCAGAAATGAGAACAATATTGATGATATAGAAAGGGGGAGAATGGGTAAATGCGGAATAGGGATCAGTGCACACACTGAGGGGCTGGCCTTCAACAAAAGTAAGGACAATTCAGCTATCCTAGAAAAAATAAGGTGGAACATATAGGTGCAAATGTTGGGGGATTTGTAGATATGAGGTGGATGTTTATGGATGTTCACGCCAATGTTCAGTGAAATGGGAAGCAAGGGTCACTTGCTGAGAGTGAGCAAAGAGGAGAAGATATTTGAAGTTTGAGGAGAAAAGAGTAGACATCTTGGAGAATGAGCATCTGAGTGGTTTGGAAAAGCACAGAAGGACTGGTGGCAGCACAAGAGATCCATGTGAAGTTAGAGGTCAGGAATTTAAAGGGAAGCCAGGCACCATGGCTGGGTGCTTTTCTCTGATTTCTTCTAATGCAGTCATCTGTGCATCTATAAGGCAGAAAAGTCTGAGAGTTGAATTTAACCAGGGTTGGGATTTCATAGATGAGCGCACTAATGTAAGAGAGGAAAAGTAGTTGAGCATGTATGAGAGGGACAAAAGATTAGAGAGAACAGAGAACAAGGAGTAGAAACAACAAAATGTATAATCCCGGTGGGGTTGAAAGATTGGAATCAGGGTAGTAGAGGAAATGACCTTAAAAGAGGAGGTCAAAAAGTGGTACCTTCAGGATTGATTATGTGGGTTATGATGGCAGCGCTATTTGTAATGACAAGGTCAAGGGGATGCCTATGGCAGGAGTGGTAGAGAGGGGGTGTAGGAGGAAGTCACTGAAGAGGAGGTCAGAGAAATGAAAGGTCAGGGTGTGGGAAGGGTCATTTTCATGGGATTGACATTAAAAACAGCTGGAGCTAGGGACAGCAAGCCAGAAGCTATAATCTTCAATTACTGATGGGGGTGACCCGGGGCTCAGAAGATGTCAGCCAGGAGGTGCTATGGGTGGACATTCTGATGACATGGGAAGGGGGAGGGAGAATGATCAAGAAACAGCAACGAGGAATGAGGAAACAGCAATGAAGATCCATAAGCATCCACCTCATATCTACAAATCCCCCAACATTTGCACCTATATGTTCCACCTTATTTTTTCTAGGATGGCTGAATTGTCCTTACTTTTGTTTAAGGCCAGCCCCTCAGTGTGTGCACTGATCTCTATTCTGCATTTACTCATTCTCCCCCTTTCTATATGAGGAATGAGGAGGGAGAATGATCAAGAAACAGCAATGAGGAACCCACCTCTCCCGCCCACAGGTCCAAGGCAAATAGGAGCGAAACCAGGGTCCTCAAGAGAGAACCCAGACAAGCAGGCGAAGGGAACACTGCAGGGCACTTGCTATCGTGGGTGTACTGACGACTTCTAGTGCCAGAGGGCACAGTGGAGGGAATTTAGGAGGCAAGAGGGTTGGAGGGGGCTCAAGGAAGGGATGTCAGAGCCACACAAGGATGAGAATTGAGAGATCTGTGGTGATTGATGTGAACAGGATTGCAGGGCATGATGAGATCGGTCTTGATGTTCCCAAGACAGGCACCAGGGGAACCACATCTCAGGCACAACACAAGGATGGAAGGAGAAAGATGTCCTCTCTCTTGTTCTTACCATGTTCTTGTCACATGAGAGTCTCCCTATTCTCCACCCCGTCACATGGCCTTTTCCAATTGTGTCTTATGCGCTCCCAGACGAAAACACACCAGACCATAAGTTACGTGAATGCAGCCGTCAGACAACAAAGTGTCAGGATGGGAAAAGCGCAGCGTGAGGGTCAAACCCTGCCATCTCATGGCCTAACCTCTCAGAGGCCCTATGGCTTTGTCTTCTTGTGTGTGCTATTAGAGCACAAATACTCACCTTATGTATAAAGCACATGGGCATTCTATAAATGCTCATTTCTGATTCACAATGTTTGCAATTTAAAAAAAAAAAAAAGGAAGGTAACATGTACCAGGCATCTCCTAAATGCCAGGCACTGTGCTCAGACATGCATTTTTTAACTTGGACTTTACACCACTCATTTTACAGATGTGGAGAGTAAGACTCAAACAATTTATTTGCTCAACATCTCATAATTAGTAACTGGAGAAGTAGCACTTACACCCAGGTCTTCTTACTCCAAATCCAGAGCACACAGCCTGACACCTAGTGAAAGCTCAATAAATTTCTATTAGAGGAATAAATGGTGAGACTAGAGTGGGTTTGTGAACATCAAGGCTGCCTTGTGCACAAGCAACATCAGCACTTATGAATGCAATATGACTTAAGGGGTGCCCCAAATATCAACTTACTAGACTTTGCCTGAAATCCTCTAATTGGAAATGCATTTTTGTCTCCTCCTCATACCTGCTCATCCCTCTTAGAAACACCACATAGCAAGGCCTTTTTAGTCACTTATTTCTCAGCTTAAACAAGGTACCTGGATCCATCCCTACAAACCAGTTTTTAGAGTTACAAGTTTGAGGGATCTGGAGGAACCCTAAATAATCAACTTATTTCACAGCTTCAGTTATTCCCTACCTCACACACATCACAAATTTAGGTATAAATCCAGTTTCAGATCTGTAGCCCCAAGTACTGAAAATAAAATTGTCCCTTTTTCATCAATATTCATGAATGAAGATAGCTGTACTGTACACTTCTCAACTTCTACTATATTATTTTTTAGCACAAGAAATTTGAGGTAAAATTCCCCATTTATAAGCCACACTCTTCAAACTGTCCCTGTTAAGATTTCGTTCAAAAGCATCAAGAATAAGGAGAAATCAGTTTTAGAGATGGGCTTGAACATACCACATCATCACCAGGTCTCGCAGTAAGCTACGTTTAAATTGACAGGGATTGATATTTTTAAATATTCAGGGCCTAATGTATTTTAAAAAAGAAAATCTAGTTACATACGATTTCCTGAACTAATAACATTACTGAATAATGACTACAAAATCAGAAAACTGTGCTGGGGGAGGGAACCCACAAATGAGATTTCCCTGCAACATGGCAATTACTCTGCATCCTGGTATATGAGACAGGAAACAAGTCTTCCGTCAGTTCTGCATTTTTATTTTTCTTTTCATTTTCTTTTTATTTATTTATTTATTTATTTATTTATTTATTTATTTATTTATTTATTTATTTAGAAGGAGAGAGAGAATGCAAGTGGCAGAGGGAGAGGGAGCGAGAGAGAGAATCTTAAGCAGGCTCCATACTCAGAGTGGAGTCCAAAGCAGGGCTCAATCTCATGACCTGGGTTTGATGATCATGATCATCAATGATCATGACCTGAGTCAAAATCAAGAGTCAGACACTTAACCAACTGAGCCACCCAAGCACCCCAATTCTGCATTTTTCTCATCCAATTTTTACATTTTCCTCCTTGCAGTTCACTGTAAACACACGGCAATATGAGGGATAAAACACTACATCATTTGGCTGATGGAGCCCCCAAGGAAGGAGCCCTTCCTCAGGAGGACCTGTTGAGCCCAGTGGCCAGCCAGCCTAAGGAGTGGCAAAGAGAGTGGGGTTTCACCTCTGTAGGACTGCCAGACACCTCAGTGGTGACACTGAATTGGAGCCTTGGAGGACACATAAAGTGACAGTTTATCAGAGAACCTTGATTTCCTCTCCAGTTCTCCTCTGGGCTGCTCTTACTGGCACATCTGCTCTGCTGCTCACATTTTGGTTCTCACTTCACAGTGTGGACCTGGGCCTTTATTACCTTCTAAAAGGGTTTTCCTTCAATTTTACAATTTTGGAATATTTACTTTATACTGATTTTGTTTCATATCGTGATACTTTTTAGTCTTTCTGTAATTCTAAACTTGCGATAATCTTCTGAGTACTGTCTACAAATCAATGTTTCTCAGAGTATGGCCTCTGGACCAGCAGCTTCAGCATCATCTGGGCCCCACCTCAAACCCACTGACTCACTCATGCTAAAGTTTAGGAGCCACTCATTCATTATCCTTCACTTGTGAGCCAGAGTCAGGCACTTTGAGAAGATGTATTCCTTCCAGACCCATTCACGCAACAGAACTATACCTTTCAAGAGTTTTAAATACACACCCTTCCGGTGCTATGATCCCTTAGAGGATTTGATTTTGTATTTACTGGGAATCCACTAGATGCTGGCTTGTAGTCACTAGACTAATGCATCTTTAAGAGAGTGACAATACAAGAGGACCATAGAGATGCCGGCTTCGGGCATCTTCACCAGCAGTTTCTCTCTTCCATTCAATATGGGGAAACAAAGGGCTTCTCTTTTGAAAAGGCTGAATAATTCCGAGACCCGTAATGCCTGAATTTCTACAAACCCAGCTCCTGGCTTATGTATGATTATTGTATAATCCACTTATATTCAGAAACCATTCCCAGACTTGGTCTCCACTCCCACAAGTACCATTCAGAGAAGTGCAAGGTGGGAAACACAAGGGTATCTTCCTTCAGGAAAACCCAAGCTGGTCTCCCTCCACACTGCCTCTCAATCTTGGTCCCTGCCCTGGGTTCTGATCTGGGGGAGGACTTACCCACCCAAGACATCAAGGGAAGCCCACAGCCCGGCCCAGGAGTTCACTTCACTCACCGCACTGGTCTGCACGGACTCATCCTCTGGTTTGGCTTTCACATCAACAACTCCATCAGCATGGCGGAAGCAGCAGTCAGCAAGGACGTCATAAAAGGTCAGCTTCTGGGCTTTCAAACCATATTTCTGAAGCCACTTCTTGGAGTCCCAGGTGTCCTCTAGGTCTGACTCATTCTTGACAGAGGTTGTTCCTGATTCTATTTTTGGAATTACAGTTCATCAGTGCCATTCATATTCTATAAGCCATTTGTCCTGCACCCTCAACTTAATATTTACCAAGCTGGAACATGTTCTTTGTCAGATCACATTCATTTCAGGAAGCATGCTTTCTAAACCAGGACTGGCAAAGAATTAGTTCACAATACCGGAAGGCAGGAATCTGCTGCCTTTCATCTCACTTCCTTCTCTACCTAAGTTGCCTACCCCATGTGTCTGTGGAGATGGCTGACAGACCAAGGCCATGTGTCAGGAGAGCATTAAACTTGGGGTCAGAAGCTTTGGGTTCAAGTCACGGGCTCTACCACTTATGGCTTGGCTAAGTTGCTCAAACTTGGGTGAGTCACAGCACTTAACCTCTCCGAGCTTCAGCAGAATTCTTTACCTGCAGATCGAAGATAGCATCTGCTTGGCCTTCCTAAGTGTGCTGAAGCGATTCAATAGGAAAAGTCACGTGAAAGTGCTTTGTGGTGAGTGGGGACGAGAATTAGGGGCATGTAGCTTGTGTTGAGGTAGAAGTCAGTCAACCAGAGAAGGCTGGCAGGCTCCCTCCCAGGAGCCCCGCTGTTAGCTTTGGTGAATTTATTCTGATTCAGAGCCTGGCCCTCAACTCAGCAGGCTCAGAAACCTCCTATAGTCAGCTAGAGCACCTAGAGCTGTATCTATAACTCACCTTAGCTCACAGGTTAAAGTACAACCCAGAATGCTGATTGCCCAAATATTCCCAGCCTTCAACACATTCCCTTGGTGTTTTCCCAAGGTTATCTATACTCTTTAAGTGGTGGGGGAGGTGCTCTGTTAGCTGAGCAGAACACCATACAACATAAAAGTATTCATCTAGGTGGCTCAAACCACTAGTGCCACCTAAAGGAGACAGGAGTATCTGGGGGTGGGCACAGAGGAGGGGGTGAGCAAATCTAAAGCTGAGAAGGAGGCGCTGGTGTCTGGAGCGGGCTTACACTGGCCCATGGGAGCTAACTGTACACTTCTCCTCCCAACCCCATGCTCCCCAGTAGCACATTGGTAGGGTAAAATTGACCATGCTGGGAGAATTTACAGAATCTGGAAATCAGAGCTTTTTTAATTCCAGCAAGTGGACTGGCAAACATTTATCTGAATGCCCCTGGAAGGAAGGCAGAAAGGACCCTGAGCTTTTAGTCCCATTGAAACCAGCAGAGCTCCAGGAGGACCAGCAGGGGGTGCTGGGCAAAGAGATGGTTTTTGTTTTTTTTTTTTATAACATGTACTACTGCATATTAGGTCTACCAGCCCTACAAAGTTTAATTTCACTTAGATAAGTGGTTCTCAACTCTGCACACTGGAATTCTCTGAATTTTTTGTTGTTGTTAAGATTTTTTATTTATTTACTTGACAGAGAGAGAGACAGCGAGAGAGGGAACACAAGCAGGGGGAGCGAGAGAGGGAGAAGCAGGCTTCCCGTGGAGCAGGGAGCCCGATGTGGGACTCGATCCCAGGACCCTGGGATCATGACCTGAGCAGAAGGCAGACGCTTAACGACTGAGCCACCCAGATGCCCTTCTCTGAATTTTTTAAATACTGATGTCTGGGCCTTACCCATTTTTTTAAAAATGGTCTGGATATTGAGATTTTTCAAAGCTTCTTGGGTGATTATACTGTGCAACCAAGCTTTGCAACTACAGCAATATGGAAAGAGCTTTCTAAATTATGATTTGGTGATCCCATCAGTTATGCTTCTACTAGATACAGATTCAAGTTCAATTATACTTTTAATAAAAAAGGAGCACTCAATATTAGGGAAACAAAAACACTACCCATAACCCATTATTATATTTAAGGGGATATAAAATCAGCATAGGATTTGAAGAAATAAAACACTTTAGAGTCAACTATTTCTCAATAGTATGTAAAGGATCTGCCAAGTAATGCTACATGTAAGCCATGTCCTCAGATTTTAATAGAACACCTTTCAAATAATGCACTCAAACCTACTAGAGCTAAAACTTCTGAAAGAAGCTTGGTTTTGGCTTTTGAACTTTAAACCAGCCTGGCATCAAAAGCCCCTTTGCGCACTGTCCCCAGTTACCAGCAGTTGGTTTCTATGTGATTCACAAAGCCTCTTCTTACCCTGTATAGGGAGCTCAAATCAGAGGCTCCCCAGAGCTTCTGATCCCTGAGGTTCTCCTGCATGTTCTCCTGCATCACAAGGAAACAGCAAAGAGAACAGAGCCATTTTTGTCAGCGGGATCAGCCTCCTTGGAAAAACCCTTTGAGTGACTATTTTTCCTCAATTATTGTTAATTACATTCTAAGCCTTTGTCTCCTCTTTCTTCCAACTTTATTCTCCTCCCTTCTCTCCGAGTAACAGGTGTAGTAGGAAATAAAATTTGTATTCAATTATGTCCACAGCAACACACAAATTAGCACATGTTTCTGCTCTGTTTTGGGGGTTGCCTTCTTTTAAAAAGACAAGAGCCTTTCCTCAATGATAAATTCAAGCTTACCATAGAAGGACTTCCTAAAAAACACATCAAACCAACTCTAATAAGGGATTCTAAAGAACCAGAGACTAACTTTTGACTCCTAGCTTCACCCAGGACTAGACAGCACAGTCACCCTGGGGGGTATGATTGAGTCTCCCAATTACTTTCTGAAAAGGGGTCTCAAGGAAAACCCCAAAGCAACTTGAACTTCATAAAGGAAAGAAGGGGAAGCCAAGCATGCAAAAACAAAGAGCTAGGTGCTCCGAAGCTGAAGAGAAGAGAGAAAGGGGGAAATCTTCCCACTTTCAGTGCTAATTACACCAATTAGTGGCTGAGCCTCATCTTCCCCAGGTGGGGAGGGGAAGGGCGTTATCCACTCCTTACAGTCACTTACTAAAGAGTTCTTTCCATCCCCTTGCAGTTACTTTAATTAAAAGTGTTACATAAATCCTCATTCATTCATGACAGAGATGAAAGCTCACAGCTCATCCTATACCATGTGAGAGATTGCTAAAGATTTTCTCTCTGTTACTCGCAGGAGAAGCACATAGCGGATCACCTCTATGCCACAGAATTAATGTGCCTGGTTGTCTCCATTCTACGTGTCGATCTCAAAACATGTTTTAATGAGCAAGACCTACTGGCCAATGCTTTTGAAACATAACTGCTATAGCCAGGGCCACAGCAAAAAGATAAATTGGGCACTGTTTTCTGTGCCCACTCCTCCCCTCAAGGTGTCATTCCCCAGTGGCTCATGGTCATCAAGGACTTATCACCGTAACTGCCCTCCCCATGGCGACAGTTAATCTAATGTGTGAACTTGGTTGGGCCACAGTACCCATCTATTTGGTCAAAGATTATTCAAGATATTTCTGTGAAGGTAATTTTAGGTGAGATTAACATTTAAATCAGTAGACTTTGGGTAAAACAGATTACCCTCCATATCATGAGAGGCCCTCCTCCATTCAGTTGAAGGCCTTTAATAGGAAAAGACTGAAGTCCCCTGAGGAAGAGGGGATTGTGACAGCAGACTGCCGTGGGACCTGAAATGCAACAGCAGCTCATGAAGGCTGGTTGGCCTGACCTGCAGTGTTTGGACTTGGTAGTTTCCACACTCATGTGAGCCAATTCCTTCAATATCTCAATCTCTGTCTCAACCTCTCTCCCTCTTTGTATACACACACACCCCCCTGTTGGTTCTGTTTCTCAGAAGAACCTTGATTAATATGCTCCTCCTCCCCCACTGAAGATTGCTTGTCCAGCATCACATTCCTGCCATGTTAGGTCCTTGTGCCTTTCAAGGGAACCATCAGCTAATGAATACACCAGAGCTCTAGATCTGGAACCGATCTCAGAGAGCATCAAGTTAAATGTTTCTCACACTGTGGTCCACAAACACTACTTCTCCTGCATGTCAGTGGCTATTATTAGCCAGAAAGACAGTTTCTTGGCAAAAAGTTTGGGGAGCTTGAAAATAAACAGTTTCAAAAGGTTCTTTCTCACAGGGCTTGTCTGAGGAATCAGCAGTGGGACTCACCATGGGTAAGAGGCATAAATAGTATTTCCTAAGGTTATATAGTCCCAGAACCTTTCTGCATAGAATATTTGGGAAGGCTTATATTTGACAGACCACAGTTTGGTACACACTTTCCAACATCCCTGTTATCATGAGTGTCATGAGACACTAAGCCAACACTTGGCTGCCCCACGGGAAGTGGCATGGCAAGGACACTGTGAAGTATTTGAAAAAGAAAGGTTCAGAAGAAGCTGAAAGTGATGTCCAATGGAAAGAAGGAAAGGATGGGGGACAGGAAGGGAGGGAAGGAAGGAAGGATGGGGAACAGGGATGGAGGGAGGGAGGGAAGGAAGGAAGGGAGGGAGCGAGGGAGGGAGGGAGGGAGGGATGGATCAAGGACAGCTAGGAGGGAGAGAGAAAGGTGGCAACTGTTAGGACAAGAAATCCAGCTGCTTGCCTGTCAGACAAGTAAGTCGGCTCAGAAGACAGCACCTGTTGGGCCAAGGGTTGTCTGCAGGTGAGACAATGAAGCCCGCTGGGGTGGGCACCCAGAAGATGTGTTGACAGCGTGGCTCAGGAGAGCAACCTGTCTCTGAGCAGTCATGCCCTTTGTTCACTATACTTGCTGACTGACTGATATTTTCTGTTCATCTACAGTTGTGAAAGCACCATGTGCCGAGCATATTTGCCTGGCACTGCACAGAAGCCTAGAAAGGGGAGGAAGGGAGGCAGGGGAAGAGAATGGTAACCCACCAATATTCTGCAGAACTGACTTGCTAGGCAGGTTTGGGTAACTGTTCTCTGGAGTGCCCCAGGGGTTATACACGTGAGGGCTGAGGAACAAGAAGATGCAGTGATGTGCCTGAAGTCACATCTCTAATATGACACTAAGTCAAATGGGCAGTTCTAGAGTCAGTCCTGAGTGGACTAGCGTACAATGGGAAAGAATTTGGATGAATTTTAGGCCCTTTCTCCCCTGGAATACCATGAAATGATTTTTACT